CCCAAAAAAAAAAAAAAAAAAAAAAATTGATAGAAAATCCAGAACATGACCAAGGAAAATTGGGGAAGGAAAAAAAACAGGACAAAAGAGAGCATGGTACAGAAGATACTGAATCACTGGATTTTAAGAAAAGACACTAAATTGCTGAATACATCCTTATGTTTCCTATGGCCAAAGCAATTTAGTATAGGGATAATGGAAGACGTAAACCATGTCAGAAGCAAGGAAGTGGTCAGACATCTGGAGACCATTGCTGATGGCAACAGAAATGGCACGCAGCTGGAGAGCAGGCGTTTTGCAGCACTTAGAGGACAGAAATCCCGCATGCCTCATCTCTCATGGAGAAGTACATTGGTATTTAGATTTATTTTATTGATTAAACACTTATGTGCCCTTATATCTGCACCCTTAAACCTCATAACAATCCCATGAAGTTATATTATTTCCGTTTTACAGATGGGCAGCACAGGAACGTACTTGTTGCAGTCCCACCACTGTTATGTGGCCGAACTAAGGACCCAAGCCCAGGCCGCCTGACCCAGAGTCCTGTTTGTTCTTGAGCAGGGCACTGTGCTGCCCTTCCATGTCTGAGGGTGGGGGAGAAAGCAAGGTTCTCTGAAATGCATTTAGTGTGTCATCCAGTCTTTTACACTCACTTCCCTTCAATCAAATTTCTCCTACACGTCTCTCTCTCTCTCTCTCTCTCTCTCTCTCTCTCTCTCTCTCTCTCGTGGCATGGGTTGGTCTGGGAGAACTTCAGTAGGACTCTGCAAAGCATTTGTGCACACTAAGGAAGTAAACTAAAAGTAAACGTGAACTAAAAGCATTCATAGCACTTACCGTTGTCCGTTGCATGTGGCTGAAGGTGAACCCATCATTTTGGCTGTTGGGTGCCTGGAGGTGTAACGATGAGTCAGCTATGGTTTCTGCCTTCAAGAAACACATTGTGTGTGTGAGTGTGTGTGTGTGTGTGTATTTTAATAAATGTTTTATTAAATCAGGCTGAGTGCTAGGATGGTGTATATAAAAGACTGCACAAGAGCACAGATGTTTGACATCTAGATCGTAACGTATCAGGGAAAGCATCCAAGCAGAGATGTTACTTGTGTTGGGCTTTGAAGGATGAATGGAATTTAGGGATACAGGGAATGGAAGAATGGCATTATAGATAGATGATTTGGAAAGCATAGCAATGAGTAAAGCACAATGCAGCCCACTGAGGGAACACGACTGGTCCATTAGGACTGCAGGGTCCAGGGCACACCAGCAAGCCGCAGGTGCAGTTAAGGGCTCAGTTTGAGGCCAGACTCGGGAGTTCCATGTGACAAATCACAGAGCTTGATGTCTGTTTTGAAAGCTGTTGGCGGGTGGAAGTTTTCAGGAGGGAGACGCATGTGATTATATTTTTCTTGAAAGAATATTTCATACATGAGAAGGGTAGAATGGAAGATAAAATGGATGAAATGCATAGGCAAAACTTTAAGCTATTTCAATTGTAGATTCTTAAGCCGAGGCAGTAGAGGTCCAAATGGATGGGAGGAGACGAGGGGAAAGCGGTTTCGGACGCAGCTCACGAAGATGCAGCGATTGTGCGTGTAGGTGAGAGGGGGCGGGGGAAGTGGTTTTCCGGAGAAGAAAGGGTCACGTCCTGGTCTGGGGAAGATCTGCATCGGAACGGCATTAATGACGACATTTGCAGTTTTTGCCTCTGTAAATTCAGAGTCAGAGGATGTGGGGTGGCAACTGGGAGTTGGTGTTCCTTGGAGGTTTTCCAGCTCCTCCTGCACTGGACCCGAGATCAAGAGCAACTGTGGCTCCCACATGCGTGTGAGAAGCCCGACAGGCTCGCATGCCAGTCAAGCCTAGAAGAGATGTCTGAGCAGAGGGGAGGAAGGAGGCGGGAAGGCGACGCTTAAGCCTGTACTTGGCTACTTTAGGAGGGCGGGTGGAGCTGGGCAGAGAGGCTGGCTGGGAAATGAAGCTACGGTTTGAGAGTTTGCCTCGGATTGAGGAGGGACGCAGCACTTAGGGAGAGCTGAGGAACAGCACGTTCAGGACCCTGACAATCTGCAGAAAAGGTGGCAAGAGATGACTGTTGTCATAGAAACCAAGAGAGGCAAGAATTTCCATAGAGGGAGTGCAGCGCCCAACTTTAGCAGAGCTTATAAAAATTCAGATGAGCCAGGAGCAGAAACGCACTCGCTCATCTGTGCAAGGCGACCTGGCCACCTCCCGAGGGTTGGCGGCGTGAGCGGAGCCGAGGGACACAGGAGGAGGAAAAGGGACGCGGGAAATGAGAACCTTTACACATGGACCGTGACATGAGGAAAACTGGCAGTAAAGGGCAAGGTGAGGGAAAATAAGGAGAGCCAGGAAAAAAAACTTCTTTCCCTATTTTACACATAGAAGACACTTGGGGAGAAGAAACCGGTGGAAACAAAGAGATGAAAGATATGGGAGAGAGGGAGGAACCTGTGGATGTGATTCTTCTAGGCCAGACTAAAGAACCGATGAGTGTTTATATCAGATGATAATAAGCAGCGAAGCGACAGGTCCGGAGCAAGAGCAGCCGAGACAGGGATGTGGCACTGAGCACCGTCAAGTCGGGTGAGCACATTTTGATCAGAAGGTCAGGCGCGGGTCCCGTCCTCCTCGTCCTTGCTCCTTTGCTCTCAGGGTGCACAGACCGGCCGCACCGGGTGGGGGCTGCTGCAGGCAGGAAGTTGTCTACAGCGTCTCCCCGCTCCTCCTCCTCCCCTACAGCTCTCCACTGCCGCAGGTCTGCAGTGGGGAAGTCTGCAAACTGGAAAAAAATAAATGTTGCCTCCAAAATGTAAAACTGTGGAACTAAAAACATTCCCTTAATTTCATTGTTGAGTGTTCGTAAATCTCTTCAACACCTAAAAATAATTGATTCTTCCAAACTTGTAAAAATTTGTGAGAGGCACAGTGATCTGCCAGAACTCATGTCACAGCTGGGATTTCCCTCATAGCTAAAGAATTTTAAAACAGTTTTTTTCCCACTACAGCCATGCTGTGATGATCCGTGTCCGTGTCACTATCTTTGTGATGTCATTTTCGAGTCATACCTGTTCTCCTGCAGGAATCTTGAACCCTCTCCGGCTCTACTTTATCTTAGGCATAAAAATTGCTGGGGCCCACACATATGTGGGGGTTCCGATGATGTGGGCTTCTCTCCAGAAACTTGGGTTCGCTTATAATGCTATCATTTATCCTGTGATCTGCACGGCTCTGTTATGTACCCACAACAGTAAGGTAAAGCTGAGTCTCTTTTTGTGCCGAAATAACCAGTGACGTATTGACATTTGACCTAGAGATTTCTTCCTCCTTCTCCTTCTCCTCTTCCTCCTCCTCCTCCTCCTCCCCTTGAAGGCGGTCTCTTCTGGCAGATGATGACACGAAGAATCTTGGCGAAGTTAGACATCCTGGATATGCAGGCGAAGATCCTCCTGGACAGACAGGCGAAGGTCAGTGAAACAAAAACGAAATGCAGCTTAATCATCCAAATGCATTTCAAATGCAAGTGAGCTTGCTTTGTGGTGAATGATGTATTCATTTGAGGTTGTGATTTATAAAAAGCAGGTAAAATTTAGTTGCAAGAGTCATTCATGTAACTGAATAATAAAAATAATTAAATAGAAAATTAACCAATAGATAACTGTTGTTTATGGTATATATGAAACTTGCCTAAAATAAAAATAAAATTATGCTGCCAAGTCCTAAAAGTGACTATTTCTGTAATTCTTGCCAATGTGTTAAACACACACAAAACTACTCAGTTGAGAAAAGAATGAGAATTTCCATCACGGTTACTGAATTAGAAACAATTCAAATTGATAGGAGCAGTTGAAGTAAATCTAAAAATTGGAGCTCAAGAACAATCTTAACAGACTATAATTCTCAAAACCCAGATTTGTGGTACATGTGAGCAATTTAATTTTGGCTCACTGGAAATATTTGTTTAAGTTACTTAAACAAATTTGTCAGATCATCTCTTAAAACTTATTTTTAAAAGCATAAATGTAAAGCCTCCTTTTGGAGATAAGTCAAACAATACATAGAGATATATTCAAAAGTTATATGCAAAGAAAATTAAATAAATAAAAGTTAATAGTCTTTGGCCTTTTCCCTGTAATGTTTCTCTTGCAGCAAAACAAACCTTACCAGGTGGAGTTTATCCCTCCGTGTGTTTTTTGTGCTCTTACAAAGGTAGACACGCACCTCGGACACTGCAGTGCCTCTAAATCTCCGTAATTCACACAATAAATACACACAAATATAGGGAGGTAGATTTTTATCTATTTCCTTTGTAATGCAAAAGAGAGAGGCAATACCTAAGTCACTTCGGTAACTGTCTTTAACAATTGCTTTACACTTTAAACAAAAATAAGTACACAAGAAGTTGCGAATACTGTGCAAGGAGCCTCTGCGTCTCACCCAGGTTTCCCGCAGTGGTGACCCTACTGGTGGCGTAGCACAGTGTTAAAACCAGGACGTGGACGCTAATATACCACTATCAACAGAGTTGCAGGTTTTGTTCCGTTGTCACCGGCTGTTGGCTTGCGTTCCTTGGTGCACACGTGCCTGTGAGCATGTCGCTTTGTGCTATCCATCCCGCGTCCACAGCTTTTCCGCGTTACCTCTGGGCGTTTCCGCCCACGCGCCCTTCCCGTTCCTGATCGGTGGCCACCGCCAGCTTGTTCTCCCTCTGTGTCATTTTGAAATTTTGAGGAGTTTCTGTAAATAGAATCATTCAGCGCCTCCGGTTTGGAGCCTGACTTTTTCACCCAGGCTTTTGTGTGAATCTTTGTCTTGCCCTCAGCGAGATCCAGGACACAGGTTTGGTTTGAGCGCCCCCAACCCCTTGGCTCCCCCTTCCCTGAACCCCAGCTGGACGCTGTCCCTCAGAGGTCTCCCTCCTGTCCCCTTCCCATGCCTGAGATGGCCGTTTTCAGATATTCCGGTTTTCTGGTTGTTTGCAGCAGGAGTTAATTCCTGCAGAACGGAATCCTTCTTGGGCAGAGGCAGAAATGCCCATCTCCTTTGACTTTGCTTTCCGTGTTTTGTCTCTTTTTTCTTCTGTGCTGTGCCCTGAAAGTTTTAGAGAAAGCATCCAGCTCCTTAACTCACATTTTAGCCCTTCCTTTCTTCCTCAGTCCAGTTGTTCAAATATTTTAACTCTTCTAGGTGCTTCTTCTCTTCTTCCTTCCTTCTTTCTTTCTCTATTTCCCCTCTTCCTCCTCCTCCTTTCCTCTCTATTCCTCCTCCTTTATTGCATTTCAGGCACTGAATCCAGGGCCTTTGTGCTGAGCCACATCCCCAGGCCTTTGTCTGTTATTTTGAGGCAGGGTCTCGCTAAGTTGCTAAATTGCCCAGGCTGGGTCGTCCTCCTGCCTCAGCCTCCCAGAGCACTGGGATTATATGAGTGTGCCCACACACCCGGCTTTCTGGCTCACACAACTAGAAAGCTTATGTGATTCACCAAGTGTGGGCAGGAAGAGAGTGGGTTGGAGAGAGAAATACCTGCTGTGGTTCCCGTAACTCTGTGCACCAATTCGTTGCTAAATACTGTGTATGGGTCTTTTTGTTCAGTTCACAATTTTACAGTTAGTAGGGAGCCTGTGATCATCTAATCCAACACATCCTTCCTGAGATGGGAAGAGTTCCTCAGGTCACACAGCAAGGGTATAAAAAAGTTCCTGCACAAATGCCTAACTTTAGACCTGTAACATTTTCCCATTATTGCCTGGAACATTAATTCTGTGTGTGTGTAGAAAGTGAGATTAACTTTTGTCCATACAAACTTTTTCCGATAAGAAAAGTAACTGGTTTTTTTCCCACTTTGTTGCAGAAAAACAGGCTTCAGAATGAGGAGAGAGGAAAGACCTTGGTTATACCCCTGACATTTGACTTTCCTTTGGAGTTTGAAGAGGCCATCAGTGCACCCACAGCTAAGACAGCATCAAAGGTCACAGCAGATAAGTCATGTGACACTAAGAAAGCAAAAAAGTAATTATCACAATGATTTCAGACTTTCCGTTTGAAGGTAGAAAGCATAACTTTGTATTGTCATATTGAGTTAAAAGAGACTAAATATGCTAGTACACTGAATATCCTTAGCTTGTGCAGTAAGTATTATAACAGTTTGCTAGTATAGATGGTAATTGCAATTCCAATTATTTATTTATTTATTTTCATTTATTTTGGTGCAAGGGATTGAACTTGGGTCCTTGCACTTGCGAGGCAGGCGGCAGAAACACTGAGCTGAATCACCGGCCTGTGCAATTCTAAATTTTGAAAGAAAGACCTTTCTCAATTTAATTATATTGCTCTAAATTAATATATATATGTTTTTTTTCTGGTAGTAGAGATTGAACCCAGGACTTCTGCACTGAGCGACATCCCTAACATTCTAAAAAAATTTTTATAAAATTTTTCAGACAAGGTCTCCTAAGTTGTAAATTGCCCAGAATGGGATTAGACTTTCAGTCCTCCTGCCTCAGCTTACCAGGGTGCTAAGATACAGGCATGTGCCTCCATGCCTGGCTCCAGAATTTATGTCAAATAACTGAGGTGGGGAAAATATGCACAGTTGTGTGTTTATAAGACATATGCACTGAAGGGCCAAGATTTAGCTAAGTGGTGCGGCCTGCCTCGCAAACGCAAGGATCTGAGTTTGATCCCTGGTACCCCCCGCAAAAGACACGCACACTGAGGATATGTGCATCTCACTATGTAACAATGTAATATATGGATGACCCATTAGATTCATTTAAAGGAAGCCACCATTTGTAGTGGTATTTTCTAGAATGATACAGTTGCTACTGCTTTCCTGGCTGATAAGATCATTTCCTAAATAGTTTATAGGCATCCCTGACTCTGTGTTAGCAACAATGTAACCCATCAAATAGCTGAGTAATGTTCCAGTGGGCTGGGGTGTAAATTCTAGGTCCAAAGGTCAGAGAGCCTGGGGTGCTTAAGTCTGAGGACAGGGAGAGTGTACCCTACCCTACTGGCACCCTGGTGGTGAGGCATGGGTCCCCCCACCTGGGCCAATGACCTAACACCCTGCAGACACTCCTGCGCCGGCTTCTCAGAAATCCCTACGCCCATCAAGCTGACGCCTGATGGATCATCAGGCAGTGTTTGAAGGGGGAAAGCTCTGTCCGTACGTAACACATCAGTGCTGCAGTCCTGTCTGGTACCCAATTCTGGGACCTGACTGTCCTGCCCTCTTTATCCTAGCACTTTGATTCATGTCTGGCAATGAACCCGACTCCTTACTGAACTAATTCCAGTTATGTCGTGCGTGGATCATAGTGACCTCGAGTGCCCTGAACCCTACCGCTGCAGTTTCCTGGTCCTCTACTTTAAATGTCCACTGATGTTGTCAGTGCTGGCTCAGTCTGTCTTAATCTCTCACACTTTACACTATTAGCACCACTATTAATACAACAGCCAAATAGATCAAGCTGAAACTTTTTATTTCTTCAAGCTTCTGTCATAGATTTGTTTTATAAAGTATTTTAATCTATAATAATTTTTATTTCCTTCAGGTTTGTCCCCCTCAAATGTGAACCTGAGCCTATAAAAAGTGATTTTGAAAAGTTCAATTTGGGGCCACCTATGGCTCTATCAAATATAAAAAATCCCGAAAGTAAGTCAGTAGGTAGTGCTTTGTGTAACGTATGTACTTCTCCCTTGACCTATTAAAGTTGCTGTGAATGTTTATTAATATGTATCTTACAATTCCTGCTGTCTATTGGAAGAATTGCATGAACAAGTAAAGTAGAATTTACCAAAGAGAAGGATGTTAAAAATCACAACAAATTTATACATGTGCCTTTCTTTCTTTCTTTTTAATGTGGTACCAGAGATAGAACTCAGGACCTTGCACTTGTGGGGCAGGTGCGGTGCCACTGAGCTAAATCCCTGGTCCTCACAAGATGTACTTTTACAAATGTATTTTCGTGTTTGGAGGTCATTTTTCTTTCTTCCAGAAGAAAAATGTGTTTCCTTTCAGTTCAGTTCAGAGTTTCCTTGTCACTGTTACATAAAAACCAAGCTTGCACGGCCTGCTCACCAGAAGCCTGCCCTGGGGATTGGAACCCCGAGGGCCCGGAGAATTGGGGGCTCGCGGTGTCCTGTGTTGCCTCTGTTTCTCCTCTCTGCCCCGATGGGCCGCTCAGCCTCTGTAACCCAGGCTTCGGGTCTCCACTCTGCCCCGCGGTGCCTCGTTTCGGAGTCAGCTTCAGAATCTCGTCGCTCAGAAGCTTTGAGTGCACAGCTCGGCCCTCCAGCCCACTCCCTGCCGTCCCGTCTCCTCCCACCTCCCAGGGCTGGCAGTGAGTCGTCCGTCGGTCCTCCTTCCCCTCGGAACTCTCCTTTCGGGCCCCGCCTGTGTTCCTGCTCCGTCCTTCTCACTGTTCTTCGTCTCCTTCTCCATTCTCGAGTGCGGCCTTTCCCGGGCGCCATCCCTGAGCGCCTTCCGCCTGCCCGCTCTCTCCGTGGTGGGCGCGTCCAGTCCAGGGCCGGAAGCGTCACAGAGTCGCTACAGCTCCGCATCCTCCCTCCTGACGGTGACGCGCTCCCTTCCCCGCAGCGCGCCCAGCTCTGGCCGGGACCCCTGCGCCCACCTTCGCCCCGCTGGCAGAGCCCTTCCTGCTGGGTGGCACCTGCCCGAGACTCACGCAGACTTCCACCCGCCCTTCGGCCGCGAGGTCCTGCCCGCTCCAGCTCGGCCAGAGTCCGTCTGCTTTCGTCACTCACTGCCACCACCCGAACACAAATCATCGCCATCTTTTATTTCAGCCACCACAGTGGACAACTGGTTTCTCTTCTTTATTCTTTCCGGTTAAACCATTTTAAATGGAGAAATAACATACATATAGAAAAGGGCGTGAGGCCTAAAAACAGCTCCTATTTTGTTTTCAGATTTATCTACATTGAGCTCCAGAGAATTGGAGCTCTTGGGACACATGCTGTCTTCGTGTGTGTGTGTGTGTGTGTGTGTGTGTGTGGCCCTGGGCATTGCACCCAGGACCTCATGCTCACCAGGCAAGCACTGTGCCTTTGAGCGATCCCAACCCAGAGGCATGAAAGTGAATTGCATAATGACCGTTATAAAAACCCACACCGGTACGCAAGGACACAGGTCAAAGGAAAAACTATTGCCAACATCACAACCTTTTCCAAACCTCTTTTCCCATTTTTCCTCCCTAAATGTTGGCACTACCCTGTCTTCCGTGGCTTTCTTTATTTACACAGTTCTCTCTAAAGAATGCAGCGTGCCTGTTTTTCTCTGCTTTTTAAACAACTTCATATAAATATAGTCATGCTTCATGTATTCATTTGTATTTGCTTTTTCTCCGCATTGTCTGTGAAAAATTCATTCATGTTGTGTGGAGCTGTAGTTCTTTTACGTTGCGTGTAAAACATTCCATCGCATGGATTTATCACAATTTTTTCTATCCAGCATTGCAATTTGGGGGTTTTAGTGTCTCAGCCATTGTGATGCTGAGAAGAACACTCGTGTTCACACGTCCTGCCGTGTGTGTGAAGAGGCTCTCAGAGGCACGTACCCAGGATTTCATTACTAGGTACTCTTATCTTCAGCGATGACAGGAAACAGCAAGCTTTCCAAGCGTTCGAACCCATTTACACTCCCGCCAAATTTGTGGGAGTTGTTCTGCTTCTTTGTTACTGGTTGGAATTGTCAGTTTTTAAAATGTCGCTAATCTCCCGAGTTATATACGAGTTCCAGTTCAATTTGTCTTTCTATGCTTAATAGAGAGGCAGAGAACTTGTCATAGGACTATTGATCAATTACATATACATTCATTGATTTATATTTATTATATACATATATATTGAATATAAATGTATTAAACGTAAATTATACTCTTGGACGTCATCCAAATTTTAGTTCATTAAAACTAACTTTTGTCCATTTCTCACTGATGGCCTCCATGTTAGGGATATCTTTTCTTTTTCAGTGGGATTTCTTTTCACTCTTTGTGGAGTCTTTGATGAGCAGAAAGTTTTCACTTTAACAAATTCAAACCTTTTCCTAACTGAGTGACACTCTTTGTACCATACTCAAGGAATCTTTCCATACTTTGTGATCATAAAGACATTCTCTTGGCTACTAAATGATTTGAAAATAAATTTTGAGTGAGATATGGGTCTAATTTAAATTTTTTAATATAAATACCCAATTTATTAGCTTTTATTTTATTTTATTTTTTTGCTGTTGTTACTGGGGATCCAACTCAGGACCCTTGCACTTACAAGGCAGGCATGGTGCCACTGAGCTAAATCCCTGGCCCTATCAGCATTTTTTAAAAAATAGACCATTCTGTCTGTAACTTAGATTTTTGTTCTGGGGTTTTTATTCTTTCTAACTAGATTATTTTGTCTGTTTCTTCATCAATACCATAAAACATTAATTTTTGTAGTTCAAAATACCAGAGAACCAGGTTTCCTACCTTATTTTTCAAGAGTACCATGGCAATTTTCTATATGTCTTCTTTGACCTATTTGCTGTTTAGGAATCTATGTCCTACCTAATTCAAAATACATCAGGTTTTTCTGTTTATATTTGTGTTATTGCTTTCTGGCACAATTACATTGAGGTTGAAGGGTATACTCCATATGATTTTGTAACAGGATTAGTGAGGCAGGAGGCAGGGTTCTGTCAGGCAGTATGGACAGCGGCCCAAAATGCAGTCAGGAAGCCCAAAACGGAGGCTGTTGGGTGAGCGCCCCCACCAGACCTTACACAAACATCCACCAGGTGTCTGGCAGCTGCCTGGGACCTGCCCAGAGCGGGATCAGACAGATCGATGGCTCGTGCCTGGGCCCTGCGTGGGCACCGCACGGACACAGCACAGACTGGACCCTAACAACCTCATAACCCATAGGGTAGAGATTGTATCGCTTACACAATTGATTGAGCTCCCTTCTAAACCCATCAAAAGCCCCTAGATAAGAGCCCTTCTGGAAATCCTACTTAGAACCCCTCCCAGCCAGTGGGAGATTTACTTCCTGGCCTTCTATCTTTGCTTTTTTGCCTTTCTATCTCATTATTAAGGCTGCTTGTCCCCTACCTCCTCTGTCCATGGTTTCATTCTTTGTCATTGTGGGACATGACCCTGTGTTTGGTATTAATTTCAGTCCAGTAGAGTAACTTAACATTTGTACTATCTCCCAGTATACAGTCAACTGTATATGCATCTCCATCTCTTTTTAAATTTTATTTTGAGACAAGTTCACATTAAGCTGCCCAGTTTGGCCTCAAACTTGCAATCTTCCTCAACCTCCTGATTAGCTGTGATTTCAGGTGTGTGCCACTATGCCTGGCCATGAATATCTCTCAGGTCAAATTTGTTTGCAGTGTTTTTCAATACATCATTACTGTACCATTACTGAGTTTTCTGCTTATTCATTCTATTGTTTACTGAAAAATTTCAGGCTTGTTTTTCCTTGAAGTACTGTCAATTTTGATTCATAGATTTTAATATAGTTTAATGTTATTAGTTAAATAAAAAAATTATAATTATTACATATGTCTAGTCAGTTGAACCTTTATTATGAAGGCTTATCTTATTAACCAGTATTAGTATAGTTATCTCATTTTTTTTAGTTAGCACTTGGCTGGTATATTTTTTCTATCATTTTTATTTTCAACTTGCTGGGACATTATGGTCTAAATTTATCCCTTGCAAATATCACGTAGTTAGATTTAAAGAATATACTCCAATTCTCCTTTTTGGAACAGAGCATTTAATCCACTTATATTTAATATAATTACTCATATCTTTAGATTTAAATCTGGCATCTTATTTTTTCTACTCTTGTTTATTGTTTCTTTTTCTATTCTTTTATGTTTTCTTTATGATTAACTTTTAAAATTTCACTTTTCCTTCTCCTTTGCTAGTTTGTAAGTCATGAGTTGTTTTTTTTTTTTTTTTTTTTATTTTCGGGGATTTAAATTCGGTCTTCGCTTG